ACGAAAAAAGTCTAAAAATCGTGAAATTTTGGAAAATGCTCTATTACTTTATCATTTAAACAGATTTTTACAAAAAGGTTACACATTCAGATAGCTGACCTAATTACGATTCTAACGATGTATAAAATGTATTGAGTTATTGAAATTTAATTTTCGATATTTTGACATTTTTGCATTTTTGGCCCATTTAAACATAGGATTTCTCAGGGGCATTTTATCTAATCAGATGACGTAATATATCATTACAGAGCCCTGCGGCTATTTAATTGCCCAAACCGGTTATTAAAACTATCCCGACAATAATCTCCATACCGGAAGTATTCAAAAAATGAAAAAAAAAGTATTAAAAAAAACTTGATTTCGCCGTCAGATATTAGCGGACCAAAAGACCTAAAGTGTCGTTGGATAGCCCCATTAATGGACTATCATATGATATCTGAATGATACAATTTAGATGGCTATAAAATAAATTATGGTACGCCAAAAATCTAGTATTTTCCGTTTTGGAGCATTTTGAGACGCCATTTTCTCGAACACGACAACTACGATTTTTCTTAAACTATTTTTACTCAGAGTAGGTGGAAAAGGTGATTTTGAGATTATGATTATACATTTGATTTTATAAGTTTTTCAAGTAGATCTCATCAATCTTCTCACAAAACTTTTTACAGATTCAAAATCGGATGAAATTTTTTTTTTTTATTGAGGTTCAAAGTTGCGATTTTTGACTTTTCGCGGAAGAAAGGCTTTTCAACACCTTGAAAAAGTCATTTTTGTTGTTTTTTGCGATGCCATATTTCATTTCGTATCGAAACTATCAAAAATGTAGATGTAAATTCATGAAATACAACTTTAAGGCTAATTATATTTCGATTTTCACATTTGTGTAACAATTACTCCGATTTCCCCAGCTACTCCAAAATACATAGGTTTTCTCAAAAATTGGTCAATTTTTTCATTAAAAATGGTCTTGTCCATGTTATATCTGAAATATTGAACCTGGTTGTTATGCATTTTAAAGTCAGTAGCTATCAAGTAAGATAAACAGAAAAACAAATAGTAAAAATATCTATATGCCTTCTCTCAAGAGCTGAATATATGTTCATTTTTGAACAATTTTCCGCGGCACACAATTGCCAATTTTGGGGGCGTTTTTGGGACATTAGTAAAATAAGAAAAAATGGAGATACACAAGTGAAATTATGGGAATATGTCAAAAAGTTTGTGAATTTTTAAAATTACATATTTTTAATATGCCATATATTATAAATTTCGGTTGTCATTGCAACCAAAATGGAAAAAATGCAATTTTTGACCATTTTCAACACTGTTTACCATGACCCAAAAAGTGATCACCACATTTAAAAATAAGCATTTTAAAATATTTGAAACCCATATAATGTCAAATGATATGGATTGTATAAGTTTGAGCAAAATATTAAGGAGTTTGAGTGGTTACCATAGCAACCACTGTATATTTTTTTTAAAAAAGCATTATTTTTCAATAATTATGACATCAATATTGATAATTGTATTATTTAAAATCAGAAGCTATTGGGCAGGATTTTTAAAAAATAAATAAAATCAAAATCTTTATAAATATGTCTTCTCTCAAGAGCTGGAAAGATGTTCACTTTTGAAAATATTCCGTGGTAGTAAATTGCCCATTTTGGCTGGTATTAAGACACACTGTAAATGAAATTTGTTTACAAGTCCAGAAGTTTGTGAATATTAAAAATTACATATCTTTACTCTTGTATATTTAACATATATTTTGTTGTCAGCAACCAAAACGAAAAACAAACCCCAAAAATGCAATTTTATATCATTTTGAATGGTACATGTTTTTACCATAATGAAACATACATGTGATCACTGATCACCCCATTTTAAAGAAAGCTTTTAGCATCTAAAAGCAATGTGATATTAAATGTTATAAATTGTATAATTGTTATAAATTGCATAATTTTTAGTAAAATATTAAGAACTTTGGGTGGTTGCCATAGCATCTATATAATTTTAAAAATAACATACCGGTAACTGTTGTTTTACTATTGTTTGTTCTCTGCATGTATTGCTTACATATTACAAGAAGATTTATATTTTGATACATTATTATCTAACAACATTGACCAATAAAAACAAATTATTTGTGGTGCATCTAAATAATTCTCTAAAACTTTTAAAAGAAGACTAGGTAGGTACCCATACGACAGTAGGCTAAGGTACATGTAGGCCTAGGGTGGCACTAATGCTAGGATTTTGATTGGAAGAATTGTTTTGTTTTTACAATGTAGGTCTACTTTACATTTGAACATTTTCATTATTCCTCCAAATGTAGACTATCGTGGAGCAACTCCCCTTTTTTATTCGTATATTTTCGTCAACAACATCAAATCTAGGCCTAATAAATTTAATAAAACCTTCACCCTGTGTTTGTCGGCCTAGATTCAATTTGTTTTATACTGTCTAACAAACAAAATTAGGTGTTAAATACATGTATTTCCCCAAAATTACAATGAATTAAACATATAAATAATTAGTATGAGAACCGATATATAATGATAAAATATTGAATAAATTGCCTTTGTTACAATCAGGTATCCGACTGACGGACTGTACGGCCATTTATTGACTTACACGGCACTAATCTCAAACGAAATGTTGTAATAAATCGTCAACGGAAATTCCAGAATTTGAGCCGTTATTTAAATTATTTTTTGTTGGCGTTAATTCTTTTGCCATTCCAACTTTATTTGGGTATTACAATGGTCAGAAATCATGTTATTATTACGGTATCCGTAAATCCGTTCCTTCATACGAATACAAATCACAACTGGAAATGGTTCTTGGATACCGTGTTGATATTTTCCAATTTCATTTTCATTCGTGTGCACATTAAATACTTCAAATTAGGCTTGAAAAACAGAGAATTAAGTAATTCGGAACATTGAAATACTTGTCTATGTTTGGCAATTTTTTAACGGTTGAAAAATATTTGGTGTTAAACGCAAAAGCGTGTGGTAGCTGAGAGGAAATTTCCCTTCGATAAAAGCGCGCGAATATCAGTCACGTGATGTCTTTTCAGGCAAGTCATTTATTCATATAACATAACACTTACTTCATACATAAACATCGAGTTGGATTTCGATCTAGTTTACAGCAAATATGAGTCTTAGGAACTTGGAATGGATTTTTCTTTTCGTGTAGAAATGACGTCATAACAAGGCAAAACTACGCGATTTATTTTTGACAAAATTGCCCATTGTATACCATTTTCAAGTGTTCGGTGGGCGCACTTACCATGCTCCTATTTTGTTGATTTTAATAGCATCAAAACGACAATAAAACGAACTGTCAATCGGTCGGGGGTGCTATGTTGACAAATCGCCTCAAAAAAAGATTTCGTGAACTGAAGTGTTCAACTTACAAAAAATGCATGGTATTTCCAAATGCCAAAAAAGAACCCCCGACCGATTGAAAGATCGTTCATATATCTTTCTAATGATATCAGAATGAAAAAATAATATTAATAATAAGTGGCTCGCCGAGCACTTGAAGTGGGGTACCCTCGTTTAAAAACGTGACAAAATTTTTCTGCGTAAAATGAACACATATATAAAAATTATATCAAACAAAAGAACAGGATGTCTGCTTCTAAAATATTTTAAAATTCTTACAAAAGATTAAATAGCCACTGTTTGACATTAAGTTGAACAAGCCAACAGTGAGGCTGATGTCCCCCGCCGAAATCCGCAAATAAATAGATGCCACATATTAATTAATCGCACATCTATTTTTTTCAAAAGTATCGAGCAATCAAACTGTTTATCAACTATACACTAAATTTCATCACTCTCTATCAGACAGAATCAAAGTTATATTGTCCAAAAGCATCGACCAAGGAAATTGCTTATCTCTGCTTAGCTTGAGATCGATATGTTAATCATTGAACTCAGTCAAGACGAACATCTACATCAAGTTTAAACATTCTACCTCAATTAGAAGCAGTGTGAACATTTTAGCTCAATTAGAAGGAGAGTTATTGTGTTCCGAAGTCTCGGCCAATCAAATTGCTTATCGCTCTGCTTACCCTGAGCAGAAAATGCTCATCATCGAACTTAGTCAAGGTACTGATGTAATAAAACTATACACCAAGTTTCATCACTCTCACTTAATTAGAACTAAAGTTATCGTGTCCCAAAGCATCAACCAATCAAATTGCTTATCTCTGCTTCCACTAAGCAGAAAATGCTCATCTTCGAACTCCATCAAAGCATTGACCTAATATACACCCACACCAAGTTTGAACATTCTAGGTCAATTAGAAGGAGAGTTATTGTGTCCCAAAAAGTGTGACGGACAGACAGACGGACGGACAGGCAGGCGGACAGACAGACAGACGGACGAACCCATTTTAATAGTCCCCTGCTTTCTTCAAAAGGCGGGGGACAACTAAAGTTATCGTGTCCCAAAGCATCAACCAATCAAATTGCTTATCTCTGCTTACCCTAAGCGGAAAATGCTCATCTTCGAACTCCATCAAGGCATTGACCTAATCAACACATACACCAAGTTTGAACATTCTAGCTCAATTAGGAAGAGAGTTATCATGCCCCAAAGTATCAACCAATCAAATTGCTTATCTCTGCTTACCCTAAGCGGAAAATGCTCATCTTCGAACTCCATCAAGGCATTGACCTAATAAACACATACACCAAGTTTGAACATTCTAGCTCAATTAGGAAGAGAGTTATTGTGTCCCAAAAAGTGTGACGGACAGACAGACGGACAGACAGACAGACGGACGAACCCATTTTAATAGTCCCCTGCTTTCTTCGAAAGGCGGGGGACAAAAAGGGTTACAAATCGGGAAAAAAACGACTTTCTTCCAACGCCGGCAATGGAGCTGCGACACCTACTGTTAGGCGCTTTGATTAGTCATTATATATATATTTACCTGTCATATTGAATAAATCATTCAATGACAATCTACATACCTTCCAATCCTTAGGATCAAGGGACATAAGAAATTGTGTGTTGTCTTCTATTTCAGTATCATCTTCACTTTCATCTGAGCTAGAACTTTCTACAGAATGCTGTGAAACAGAATGTTTACTATGAAGTCGGTTCTGGTAAGCTTCATACCATCTACCAACAGGTTCAACCTTTTGAGTTAGAGGTGCTAGGAAAAGAAAACAAGAAATCATGACATTAATACAAGTAGTTTCTACATGGGAGCTATTTTCAGAATCTGTCCCACAAATTCGCTAAGACAGCTAAACCTAAACCTACAGACACATTCTGGTAACTAGCAAGCAAACAAATTAAAGGAGGAGTCTTAGAAACATTAAATAAAACTGGTTAGTTCTGTATGAAAGTTTCCTTTATGCTGGTCCTAGTTTCTAGGTAGTGTTGGCAATAGGTCCCAAAATACCTACATAACCATGTCCATCTGCTTGCTGAAGTTACAGTTATGTGTGTATGTGATTGTGGTGATTATCAAGCCACTCTTGATAACTGAACAATGAAATTCCTTAAATAAGTTAAGCAACTTTGTTGTGCAAAGCTAGTGATCATATCCAAATGGCATTGTTCTAGGATATTTGCCACCCAAGTCAAGTCTGAAAATAAGAAATGAAGGATCACTAGTCAAAATGAAAGTCTGTGGTAATAAAAATCAACAACTCTGCTTTCAACGTAGACATGTAAATATTTACATATTATGTATAAAAGTATTGCCATTACAACAGTTCAATCATTCAGCAAATCACTTTAGATCACCCATTATAAAGGATTGGGTTCCTGGCAAGCAAAAAATAACAAACATGGGTGAACCATTAAGTAGCTAATCCTTGGTAAATAACTTTAACAGGAAAATATGATTGTCGGTAGACTAGAGTAGGGGGTTTGGCATATCAAGATCGATGATATTTTGGCCTATCAGTAAAATACCATAATTAAACATAGCTGTAGCCTAATTGTAACACCTGGCAAGAGCAAAAAGAACAAATGACTTGGGGCTGATGCTGATTAGAAGAGGCAAAGGGATTTTAAAAATAAAGAAATTCTTTTCAGCATGTTTTCATGATATATTTTGAATGGCAAATGACCTTATTTGACCTTTGACCCTGAATATCTAGAAATCGCCCCAACAATGGACTGATTAGCACTTGGCATCATATTCTACGCAAAATTTTACTCTAGAAAAGTTGGGTTTGGTTTTGTGCCCATTTGATGGACCCCCCCCCCCCCACTGCGCCTCCAGACTATTAGCTTTCCTGACTCTCAGCTAGGGCTTGTCCCTTTATAGCTACAATATTGTCACGATAAACTGATACAATCTAAGAGGTCTTGTGCAAGTACAAACAGATTCAAATACACAATTGTCAACACATATCATTACAGTTTGTATTGAAATAAGTAAATCTATCCCAAATAGTGAAGACTGGACCACTAAAATAGTTATGCTAGGTTCCCCATTATCGTGCGATGCATTATGATAGGATTGTCCACGATCTGGTATGTGCAGATACTTTCCATACGATTGCTACATGATTGCTATGATTTCAATTGTAGCACGAATCCTGATAGTGGGAACCTAGCATTACTGAACAGTTTTTCTTTGCGGTAATGCGTTCTACATTTTCGAAGCGATATTTTTTTAATAATGTACAAGCCCCCATGACACCAGCCAGGTGAAATATAGCCAGATATCGCGTTGCATTAACCCTGCTCATTGCTTCCCTTATAAGGCAGTGTTACTATTACTATATATATGCTATTTCTGGCTGGGTGGACATTTTAAGTTGGATAGGAGAGAAAATCAAGTAACAGTTAGGTTTCATCAAATCATATAATTATGCGGCAAGGCTTGACCTTTACTTCAAGGCTGGGGCTATTTGTCACATGGGGTAAGACAATTCAGGGACTATTTGCCAGTTGCAAGATGTGGCAAATCTCTGTACAGCAATTAACAACTGATTTCAATGATACTTACAGATCACGGTAACATTAATAATATCTCAAGAGTAGCCAAAATTTCGACTACTTCCGGTCAACAGTTTCCGAGACATCGGATTGCCACACATTTCATGTGGCACGACAGCAGGTCGCAATAGCCCCCAAGCATAACTATGTCATCAATTGTTTATCGCAATGCATTGTAGGCTCGACCGGGGTCAGGTTTTTTTTAAACAACATGGCTGGTGTTAGAGTAGTTTTACGCGAATGTGATGTTAAAGGAGCAATTGTTGATTTGAGGAGATGGGCAGCATGTAGAGCATTTACAGCTGGAAAATCTGAGTCCAGATCTAGTTTAGTCAGAAGGTAAGTCTAGTACTGACGACAGGGCGTAAAGGTGGCTTACTTATATTATGGCTGCTGATCTTTATTTCGCACTCACCGAAATTAAAATCTATATAGATCTAATACTATATTTACTAATGTTATAATTACAGTAGAATCTGCATTAAGCAGCCACCCAAGGGAATTTTCGCGGCTGAATGCTTAACGGGAGTGGCCTCTTAATAAAATCTCGGTGCTTTTTGTGCTGACACCAATTAAATATTACGCTTGGATGCATTGGAAGCAAACATCAATACTTGCATTGGTAAATTTGACCGTCGCTGAATCTTGCGCCGAACGAAAATCTTGGACATAACTTCTGTAAACTTCTCATTCTGTACCAACCTTCGATACTACTGTCTACCATTGTGATGCATTCAATAATATTTATCCATTTTTGTGAAGAAAATCGATGAATTAATTTTATTTTATCAAAAAAGCACATGAACAAAAAACCATCGCTAATTTTATCACCGATTTACAGGGGGTGTAACTCTGTAATATTATAGGAGGCGCTAAAACGTCTGTTTAAGAACTGTTTCGTTACGCGTGAAAACAATGATCAGGTTAGTCGTTTAATAAAACAAAAGATTAATTAACAGATAATCCCAGGTTTATTGTTATTTTCACATTTCTTTTAACCTGATCAGTGGGGGACCAGTTAATTAACTACTACTCACGGGATTAACAGGGGTGTTATGAAGAACGACAAGATGGTATCATTCAACATTGGCCGTTGAATGGGCGATGTTTTGTTAAATTTATTAGTAAAATAGTGACCGCTGGCTGCGTTAGAGGAGTGACCGTTGAATAAAGAGATGAAACAATAGAATTTTTACAGGGGGAATTTATTGTGACGGCGTACAAGGAGATGTCACTTAATGGGAGTGGCTGCTCATACAGATTCTACTGTATAATATGAATGCATACATTTTTTATGCAATTTCTATCAATACAGTAAGTACCCTGTTTTATAAGATGGGCAATTCCGTGAGTAACAGACTGACATTTGGAGAAGGTTAATATCAGTCTGTTGTCCGCTTCTAACTCAGAAATACACGATGGTGCTAAATATTTGGCATATTGATATAGTGATCTTGCAGAATCATTTTAATACAAAACAGTATGACATACTTTTAAACAAATTTCATTCACTACCTCTCAAAGTCATGGTAACAGACTGACATTCTTGCAACCTAACGTTGATGGTCCACATACTCAGTGAAGTTTGTAGATTTACAAAATCTTTGTATTTTGGATTTATTTAATTGATAGATATCCTTTATACAAATGTTAAATTCTTTCACATCTGGCAATTTTTTTCCATATTAGAAGTTAAATTGCCTTTGGTAACAGACTGACATGGTCAGTAACAGACTGACACATTCTGATTAAAGATGATTGTATTGCTATCACTCAAGGGTGTGCTGTACAGATTTGATATCCATTAAATTTTATTTCTTATAACAGCCTGGTAATGATAAATATAGTAATTATTTGTCCTGTTGCTATTAAATCTAGAGACGTTTATTTATATGGGTGCACATTTGATCATAAGGTCCATCATTGAATCAAGTGACGTTTCGATTCACTGCTTGTACATAACAAGGAGTAAGGTCTCTTGTCCAACCTCATGGGCCTTTCTGGTTACCCCCAATAGCTAAAGACCCCTGTATACGTGCACGCGCATTATTGAAAAAAGTCCAGAAATGCCTAGCACAGCTTGCGTCGAGTGGACGTTGAACCCCATTTCTCTATTTATATGCACTTTAGATCATAAGGTCAAGTGACATGGTTTTGAATCCAAGCTTGTCTGTATAACCTCTTGTGTTTTCTTCGGGTTCTCCAATTTTCTCCCTCTGCTAAAAACAATCCTAAGTGCAAGCAAATAATTGAAATAAAATTGAAAAATATTATTCCCAAAATGACTCGGCTTGTTTCGAGTGGGCATTCAATTTTATTTCTCGCTCTAGAAGACAACAGGGATAACAAAAAATAGTGTTATTACCATAATAGGTGTTATTGAAGGAAAGCAAATAGCATTTAAAAGTTGACTTGATTCAAGTTGAAACTGATAAGGCTATATCTGTTGTAACAAACTTTAATACTTGTAGCTATGACTATTACTAGTCCCATAGGTAGAGGGGTTGGGATGGCCAGCATCATGGCCTAGTGTTCCATAGTGTCGCATTCAAACTCTAGCTAGCTGGTCACTTCTGGCTTGCTGTCATGCTTTCGATCCCTAGTGTGAGCAAATGTGGCTTGGAGATGGGGGCGACTTCTCAAACTCAGAGGTTTACTCTGGTTTCCTCCCACAGGAAAGACCCCTGTGGAAGCTGACGTAAAACTAATAGCAGAAGACTAGTCTGAGACCTTATAAACTTTGATTGTCTGCCATATTGAAAGAAAGAACACTTTTGGTTTTCATTCATTCAATTAAGATAACTTACATAATTATGCCCCTTTGTTATGTCTGTCATTCACATTATGTGTCTGCTGTACACTAGGGGCAATCAGTGCCATATTATCCTAAAGGGCTTATGCATAGGGGCCCATGCAACCGTGTTGTAAGCCCCCAATTTAGTGTGGGTGTACTTCCTGTTAGAATTACCCCGATATAATGTCAGTCTGTTACCATCAGTCTGTTACAACATTTTTCAGTGTGTTACCATGAGTTAGGGGGAGAAATTTAAGTGACATGCCTTTTTTCTTTTTATATATATAATTGGTGAGTTGAATTCAGAGAATATTCACATTTTTATTGGATTTGACACATAATACCATCTATTGATGTTAGATTTTCTACTTGAAATTTCGGTCTATTAACAGCATTCTGAT